AACCATACTATAGAAAAGAGGATAATCTTCAGTAATCCCATGTACCTATAGCTTAGCTATGGTTGTAGACCCGACGAGGATCTCTTGACCCATCGGATCGGTGAACTCGCCATTGCGACCGTTGTTCCACATCTTGAAAAGAGCAGATCAAGACCAGAAGCTATCGGCCTTTTGGGCCAGATGCAATAGTAATGATAACACAAAAAGGAGAGATTGGAACTAACAAATTGGCTAGGTTAGAAAGATCAGATATAGAAGATAGCTGAACCAATCGTTCTCCAGTGGAGTCGCCAAAAAGTGTGTTGACGCTTAATTAGGTCACACACTCGATAAGGAGCTAGATCGCTCAAAGTAGGGCCTAGCCGATTTTTAGATCGGCCGGTGCCTAGGGGATGTCCACACTTGGACCTTGTGCCTCTAGCGATGAGCGTGATACACAAGATACGTCATCAGAGGAGCCTTACCGGGAGCATGATATGTAAGACACGCCGGTAAGGTCTCATGAGACTCGAAACCCCACGCGCCCGGGAGGGACCCCGTTGGGGTGTGCAGCGGCTATGTGCTGCTCTAGAGCTTCACCATCATCGATCCACCGTCCATGCAGCGCCGACGAAGAACGAGGAGAAGTAGAGGGGAAGATAGTGTAAAAGAGAAGTAATAGATTGTTTTTTTGGTACGATTGTGTTTGTTGGGCACCTCAATCAGTCATGGACCTTATATTTATAAGGTGGGGGTGGCTTTATCCCTCAACAGTTGAAACCCCTTTCAAATCGCGTCAAAACGTGTTTAGATCCATTCTAGACCTAACAAAGTTGGCTAAGCCGACTCCCGAGTCGGCTAGGCCGACTTCCATGGCCCAAGGTGCTGTTTTCGGTCTGAAAACACGGAGAGTCAGCTTAGCTAACTATGGACTCGGCTAAGCCGACATGGCTCTAGGAAATTTGGGTGAAAAGCTTTCAAAATTCATAATTAATTTATTCGGACTCCAAATCAGACAAACCATATATGTTTTTCGATCAGCTCGATGAGAGGAATGCAACGGTGAAGTTTATTCTGGCATTTGAGGAAGTTGGTCAAGTCGGCTTAGCCGACTTAGGGAGATGGCTAAGCCGACTCTGGCTAGATCAGGCCCCGAAAACGCCGTTTCCTTCATCCGGGCTCTAAATGCTATGATCCAAATATCCTTTTCTGGCCATCTTAATGGTAAAAACATGATAGAGAAGTCCATTATGTACTTCGGATACTTTTGGGTGTCAACACAGTGACACAAAAGTCACCGCTGAACTTGAATCGCCAATGCATGGCTTGGTACTTGCTGAGGTTGATACCATACATGAGTCCGAAGAAGAGCCTGGCAACAACGCTTTGCCATACCCTAGAGATGATACATCAGGTGCTGAAAAAGCAGCACAATTATTGTGGTTGTTGTACTAGGAGGGCTTGTAGTCTTGTGATACCACATCAACTGCGCTTGTGGTGTGGCCACCATAGTATACTCACTGCGTGTGGGGAAGGCCTAGGGGCTATCCACGGAGTTACCTGACCGAGAGCTTGGCCTTTTGTGAGGGGCTCTTGTAAAAATATTAGAGTCATCGACGGAAGTTTGCATCTTTATCTTAATTAAGCTTCCGCATGTATATTGTGTATTTTGCTTCCGCATTTACATTGTGTGCTTTACCTTCCTAGCTTAGTGGATAGGCTAGTTCTTTATCTTAATTAAGCTTCCGCATTTACATTGTGTATTTTGCTTCCGCATTTACATTGTGTGCTTTTCCTTCCTAGCTTAGTGGATAGGCTAGTTGATAGGATTGAAACCTAAAGTTACATAACTCTTTTACGGTAGAGATAGCAAGACACCTAGCAATGACTAGGTTGAAAATAGATGCCATATGTAACTCCCCAGAGTCCAAACGACTCAGATCCACTCTGCACGCTAAGTGAACCACACCTACCACCATCCTATTTACGCTTTTGTCCTCGCTTAGCATAAAAGGATTAACCTGAGGATGGTGGGATAGACTATAGAAGCCTTATATGTTGGTTTAACCCAACTTTAACGACCAAGGTGGGACTAAACCCCTCATGATATCCCATTAACATGAATACGGGCCACTATGGGCCAAATTTCAAATTGGCCCGGATGTGACATACCCCCCTCCCTCAAAGGGCCCGACGTCCTCGACGGCCCAACACACCCACAACCGGGCAAACGACGACGAGGAACGTTCCCTCTTAGCACACGCGACCGTGCGTCCAGTGCCGGCACATGTGCCATGCCGTGCACTCCGCAGGGCCTACACGCGCAATGAACTCCCATTAGGCATAGATTTTAAGTTGCCTAATTCACCCCTCCCCTCTTAGACGTCATGGTTCTTACATCACTGAAGTACCAATCGGTGTTGAAGAGAAAATCTCTGAAGATAAAGTTCTGCAATAGAAAATTGACAATGGGAGCCCAAGCAGCAACATGTCTTGCATTGCAAAGACGGTGGTGTAAGTCATTGACCATATCAAGGGGACGAGAACATTGCAAGGCCTACTCATAGAAGAGATGAACACTGAAAAACTTGCGACCGGGGGCCAACCCACAGGCTCCATCGTTGCATCTAAAGCCACATTCGCTGCAGAATTTTATTATGAAAATAGTGCGGAGAGAAGTCCTGACTTGTGTAAAAAATATTGCTGCGGACAACAGTAAATTGGTAGTACGTACTATCAAAGCAGCTAAGGTGAAGGACTATTCCATGACCGAGCAAAAAGTGAAGGAACCAGTTCTTGAGGGTGCTAAATCTGCTGCAGAGGACACAAAAGGAATAAAATGTATTTCATAAAGAGACCTAGGCAATATCTCTAATGAAGAAGAGAAACAAGTAGAGGCGCACAAGGCTGATTCAAATCTAGCTGCTGTGAAGCTTTCTCAGCGTGATTCCAATAACCATGTCCAAGGTGAGGCAGTCCTTTGTCAAGGCAAAAAAGGTTATCATTGGGAGATCATCGTGCTCCAAGACCTTGACACCACCTGTTGAAGTAGATGAAATTCCTGTGAAGTGAAGTGAACAACATTTGTAGTCCATCACTCCACCTATATATATTTACAGTAAAACGTGGTTTAGACTCTTGCATATAATTCATGCTTCAGGTTCTCCATGCATCTCCCAGCTTCATCCATCTCAACATTCCTTTTTAGAAGACAAGCACATGCTCTCTGCAGTTATTATTTGACTGGGCACATGTTTGGTCTTGTTTATTTTGTTTTTTCTCTTAATTTCTGTACCTTAATGTAAATCTGTTGCTTATAAGACATGCATGGCAAAAAGCCCCGTGGGAGTGAATCAGGTCGTTGGTCGTTCTCACAAACCACATACAGCTGTTGCAAGTTTAGGGTTTTTTTAACCTACGTGAGAAGGCCTTCTTCTTGACCTGCGTGAGAATTTCTTCCCTATCACACAATGCCCTAGGGGTGGTTATACCCCTGCAGGTCAAGTTTTTACAAGACATGCATGTATGTGGCTTTATTTACTTTATGTTTATTTAACATAGCTTATCTCGTATTGTTTTGCTTTTAATTAGTTTCCTTCTCTTTAAGTAATTATATTAATTTTGCTGTACATTTTTTCTTATTTCCATGTGATATCGCTTTTCCTTAGTTTTTGTTCTCCTCCCTTCCGTAACACAGATCATAAGCTCTCCTAAGAGATTTTTTGCTTCATCTAATCATCTCTAGAAAAACTCGACCTGCGTGGTAAGACAACCCCCAGTAACCCCAGCCTGAAAATTGGCTCCCACGGGGAGTTGAACTTAGGACCAAATGAGTGCTACTCAAGCCACCTAACCAAGTCAGCTAGAGGCCCTTTCGCATCTAATTGTATCTCAGTTAGCTCCCTTGCATTCCCATGTTCCCACATTCCCAGCAAAGGGTAATCGATCTTGGAAAGTTGACGAGTGAGCTAACTAACTTGTCGCATATCATCCTCCTTTCCAGCGACAACTTTTCAATTTCATCGATCCGTAGCTAACTGTGACTGGTCTCTTGGAAGGAGCCATTGAAATTAATCTTCTTCAGAACTTTGGCTTGGCACAAATATGTTTCAACCAGCAACTTGGCATTCACCATTTGCCATTCGGTCTCATGAACAACTAGGGTTGTGATTGTCCATACTCTCTTTTACATAGTTATGATTCTTTCAAACTCTTGGCAAAACTTACATGTACAAAATGAACCTTTTGCGCTTCTGCAAAAGAGTTTGTTTCTTAAATCATAGTTTATTTTCTAGTCCAAAATATTGTTGTAATACTAATAGACCTACATTTTTCTTCTGCAAATGTACTTGACATAGAACAGAAACAAAATCAATGGATAGACAGATTTTTCATACATGATGAGAAATCACAACATGATTGCATCCCTCTCCATTTCTGACAAGACTTGATTTGACATTGAGAATAGAAAAGGGAAGACTCAGAAGGAACTAGGCGCTACATATTGTTATATTATCAAGAAACAGAGGAATAGGGTAGGGTTTTGGCTCCACCATGTTCATGTAGAGACCAGCTGAACCCGCCTTCTTAGCTCTTCAAAGGCATGCATTGCTTCGCAGTCAAGTCCCCCAGCAAACTACATATAGAGTAGCAAAGCAAACAATCATCAGGTTGAGGTTGGTTTCTCAATCAACATTTTGAGCAGCAAACTGACCTGGTGGACCCTGTAGGTGAAGCGCACACTTTGAGCAACCAGAGCAGCCTCGTTCCCAGTCCCAGCTGTATCCCTTTAGTCCAGTTCCTTAAGGACTGTCTTGGTATACATTATTTTCGCCAGACACACCGATGCCAATCTCATCTGCACAGCCCAATAGGTACTTAACATGTCTGTTATTGATGGTTTATTCGCTTTGCAGATATCAATCTACCTATCTATCCAGCATCGGAAACAGGAGGAGACCATAATAAGTAGAGCTAGAGAGATAATAACCTTTGAGGCCATCCCTGAATCAAGCATCCAGTCAGTCGGAATCCTCAACTCTTTGTAGGACGACATCACCGATCTCCTTAGATTCACCAATCTGCCCATGCTCTTCTCCAATCTGAAGAGCAGATCGAATAGGGCTCATATATATCTTGAGTTTGGTGGCAATGGCATTGAAAAAAAAATACTTGTACAAAGTATTTATTGAAGACTGCTGTTGCCACACGTACTTGTCTAGCAAGCTTGAAATCTTCCTGCGAGTGGCTGTCGCCTCACTACCACTACCACCATCTTCTCCGTCTCTCAAGGAAGAGATCTCTGTTAGAAGACACTTGAGGTGTCGGTATTCAGATGCCGCTTCACGAAGTGCATCAGCTTTCCTCTCAGGCCAGTTGAAGTGCTTCAAGACGGCTGTCTCATCAGACTGACAAAAATGGGAATTACGTACATTGGTAGCAAGCGTAGATGAATGCACCCCAAGCACAGTACATATAGATGGAGGTTTTATCCTCTCTTTTTTGGTGCCAAAATAAAAACTCTTATCTTACCAGAGTAGAAAGTTGTTGGTCCAGCCAGTCCACAAAGGTGACTACTTGTTCCACACCAGTGTAAGTACTAGTGTGGATTTTGTTGATGAGATGGTTGATGAACTCTGCTTTTGTTTCCACACCCGCTTTGATCTGCGTAGTATGTGATTGAGAAAAGAGAATGGTGGGTATACTGTCTTGTTTTGAGAGCGAACTTATATAATAATAATTCCAGAAAGAACACAAAGGGCCGGAAAGGATGGTGTATGACGCACCGCTAGCAGGTGCCTGGAGCGGTTCTGCAGCTCGTCAACAATGCTGCTATGGTGCTGATGGCTTCTGCTTTGGTCTGTGTGCTTTGACGACTTCTTGTTGCCGGTCTGCAGCGAGTTGTACATGTCAACCAGCGCAGTGGCCTTGCTCACGGGGCTTGTGCTCGGAGCTGAAGGGGCTCGTTGGTTTTGGTGCCGCGGTAGTGGCGGCGGTGGCGCTGCAACGACGACGCCTCCGGAAATCGAAATCTTGCTGGGAGGTTGTGGTCTGTTGTTGGTTGCAGCATCACGCTGTTGGTGCTGAAGGTCTGCGTTGAGGCGGATCGAGCAGGCGCTGCACTTCCCTCCGCAAGGCATCCACCTCCCCGCGCAGCCGCAGCCGCACCACCTCGTCCTCTACTGTCTCCGACTCCGTGGTGCTCATCATGACCCTCCTCACGGGCATAGGCATAGACACAGCAGCCTGCCTCCTCGTTGCTGCCATGGTGGTGGCGGCTGCGGCCGGTCTTGGTCTGGCCTTCACCCCTGGGCCTGGAGTAGCAGGAAGTTGCTTGACTTTGGGTGGTGGTGCTCTTGATGCCCGAGCCCGAGTTTGCGGCATAGCTGCCTGAGACTTGGAATGGATGCTGCTGCCATGGCCGTTGCTGCTTGGAACTTGTTGCTTCATGCTTGTTCGGTCGGTTGATGTGATGTGATCCAGATAAGCAGTGCAGATGCTCCTGCTCCCTCCTGACCTCGCTGGCCAAGGCCAACACAAGATAATAGATGGTTGGCTTGGCTGCTGATGGAAATAGAAATAGAAACAGAAACAGAAATTGCTCTGCTACTGCTACTGCACTGCACTCCACTCAACAACAAACAAAGAAGCAGCAGAGTGAAAGGATTTTGAGTGAGCGACTGCTCTGCTGCTGCTGCTAACCACGTTATTCAACTGTACGTACTACAAGCGCATAGTAACAGCGAATACAAAAACTGTTCGTTTTGCAGGACAAAAGTAGAAATCTCTCTTAAATACGGGCCTCGTTTAAATCCAGGGTATAAAGTTTTAAGGTGTCATATCAGATATCGTATTGGGGTGTCGCATGGGGTGTTCGGATACTAATAAAAAAATAAATTATAGAATCCGTCAGTAAACCGCTAGACGAATTTATTAAGCCCAATGAATCTGTCAGTAACGCATGCGTTACTGTAGCACCACATTGTCAAATCATAGGCTACTTAGGCTTAAAAGATTCGTCTCGCAAAGTAATCGTAATCTGTGTAATTAGTTATTTTTTTAATCTATATTTAATACTCTATGCATATGTCTAAATATTCGATGGGATATGTTATAAACTTTTAGGGATGAACTAAACACGGTCATAATTTGTAAATCTGCAGTCTTATGAATGGATATGGATCTAATCAACAGACAAGCCACGAGTACTCTGCTGGCAAGGACGGGAACATAACAGCATGAACATGCATGCTCAGATCAGTGTCCTTTAATGAATGAATGCCCAGGCAGGCTCAGCAGCCGCACCATGAATCCTTCTGCTTGCTTGCTGTAGTAGAAACATGACCCAGCATCCATGTGAAATGGAATTCGGAGGGACACGTAGCAGTAACAGTGGAAATCTTATCATTTCAGATCAGATGGATGCACATCCTACTTCTGATTTATGCATTGCATACGCATGGTAAAAGTGGCAAATTACAATCAAGCAATAACCAGAAACAAGAATCATACATCATAGCGAAGTGGAAACAGAGGACAAGAGGCCAAACCAGACCAAATCACAGTCAAGCAATCCATCCTTGAAACAAGAACCAGGAGCTAACTACATGCGGGGGGGGGGGGGGAGAAATAAAGAAAAGTTACTCACAAGACAGAGGAGATAGGTTGTGATTTCAGCTGCAAAATTGAGTAAACAGAGGCAGGCAACTGGATTTTGTAGAATCCAAGCAAGAGACAAGAGGCCCAACTCCAAATTCAGGATGGAAAATTAGTTGAGAACTGCCTCAGTTGCTGCAACTTAGGGTGTGTTTGGTTCCATGAATATCTATGGATGAGACATGAATATCTATGGATACAGGGTGGTTCGTTGGATGGACAAGCTGAACCTGGATATCCACAACAGGGAATATTCTGGATAGATGCTGGATATCCTGGCCCTAAAATTTGGTGGAGGAGGATATCCACATGTTGATTAGCGCATGTTTTGTGTGACAATTAGAGTAGTATAATGCTAATTAACATATTTTTATTTTTAATTAGTGATTATAATGACAAGATTAGTGTCGATGTATATTTATTATGTTATAATTAGTTGTTATTATTTTTAAATAATAGATATAATTAGTCAAGTATTCTCATCACATGTAATCTCATTCATCTAACCAAACAAAAAAATGGCTCGTCCTATCCATCAAATCAAACAAACAACATGGATATTCATATACCGAAATTTATGGATGGTCATATTTCATCCACCCTTGTCCCCGAACCAAACACACCCTTATAGCTCCAACCAACCACAAAGCTAGCTGTTGGAGACAGTGGGAAAGTAGGTACATGTCGATGGAACAACAGCAATCCCTCCCTTGACATCACTGCTGGTGGCTCAACCATATATATCAACACAACCACAGCTTAAACCATTTGGATCAGTTTTTTGAGAAACAAAAGTGCAGAGCAGTCTTAATTATATGCCACTTATTTGTCAGTGCAGCTAGCTGACCCGTCCCCGTGCAATGCATAATCGGTAAGATGCCTCTGGAAGACGTGCTAGCTGCACTAACTAGTGTTCTGGAGCAAAAGAAAACTACCTGTTTGTGGTTGCTGTAGAGCAATGGGTAGCACAGCAGTCAAGACTGATCACCTAAATGTTCTGATGGTTCAATTGAAAACGCACTCAACTGAACATTTGTGGTGTCTTAGGTTTAGATTTTCCTATCAAACTACTAGCTCCAGGGCAGAATATTATATGCACATATTAGTACACCTTTGATCCACTGTCATGAAATTGTTAGTGCTTTCATGTACACATGCTAAGCAGACAACGAAAGTTAAAAAAATATCCAGCTCGTTCATTTTCAGCACAGCAAGAACTCATCTATCGTTCCAGACTTATGTTCAAAAACTGATTCCGATACACACCAAAATCATAAAGCAATGTTACTTAACTAGTCTATATCTATATGTATGTTTCGTCATATATCAAAGTATTCAAGTTGTAGGTCATCAAACTTCGTACTTGCTATGGTACCCCCTTTACCTCATAAGAAGTAAAGATGTCAAAAAAATCTCAGCCCTTCATTTTTAAAAGCCATGCAAAAATAAGTAATTAAATAACTAAATTATTTTAAAAAAAATAAAAAAGGCTACAGATCTCATCGGACATCCTTCTTTATCTCACTAAGCCATCCTTCCTTATCCTCGCCATTGAGGCATTGACCAGTAAGGAAACATACATGAATATCTTTTTTAAAAGATAGCAAATAATTGAAATTGATTTTAGAGTCTAACATCCACCACAAATGTATGGATATGCCACACGTGATGACGTGAAGCTATTACACATTCTTAACATGAAAATTAGTCACGCTGCACCATGAATATGTCCTTATCTTCACACATAAAGCATACGTACACTGGATGTATGTTAAATAAAAGACTCATAGCTTAATTATGGATGCATGTTACACAAATATGTATAACTCCGCCTGCAGGGATGTTGGCCGTCGTTCATTGGACATTTGTTCTCAAGCCGGCTGCCGAGTGTTTGCCTATGCGGTCATCTATACAAAGCGTCAAACATGTTTGGCGTTGAGATTTGGAGTTATTCACAGCTAGGGTACAATTTAGATGAAATTCAGTTTCTAGATATATGTAGTGTTTTCTAGAGTGCTTGTAACTTGTTGATATATCCGGCTATTATCTAATATAATTCTTCTTTTGTCGAAAAAAAATATTACGACTTATGTGAGATCTGCAACCTTAAATAGGTCAGATTTCAAAAAAAAAAATCAAGTTCAAGTAACACACTTTGGGATATAAATTATTACACATAGAAATAATTAATCCATCGACTAAAAAACTTGCATACTAGACTCTGGGAAATATCGGCAGCGTGCATATGCATGCACGTCAGATTTGTTTGGTAGATATTTTCCTTATTTTTTCCTATTTTTCAAACAAAAATAAATATAAATATATATTTCTTATATTATCTCGTAGGAAGTAATATGTACTAATAATCATTCAGCGGTCCACGATCATTTGGAGGTAGCACGGTAAAGTCCATGAAATAAAGACCGTGCATAGGATTTTGGCCATCATCTTTATTTTTCCCTTACGGAGCAGACAGCTATTTAGGTAGGTGGGCACTGTTAGTGGAGCAAGTAAAGAAAGTTTGCAGAAAAATAAGGAGGGAGTGGAAGTGGAAGTGGTTAGGTGATGAAGGCTTTTTTAGTACAACTAGAACCTGTTCCTGCATTCAATCTCGACAGCTGCCAGCCTCGATGAATTAAATAAATAGTAAAAGTACATGTAGAGTGCAAGACGAGTTATCTGTGAACCCATAAATAGATAAATAGATTTACGCCCTGTTCGCGTGAGCTTATCAGCCAAATCAGCTAGCCATTTAGCAGTGTTTCTCTCTCACAATAAATCAGCGAACAAGTAATTTCAGCCATGGCTTATCAGCCAAGCGAACAGGGCGTTAATTTTTACTGGTTAGTTAACCAGCAAAATTTAGTCTATTTACAGGGTTGCGGACAACCTGCCTTGCATCTCTAAGTACATATTAAAATAAGAAAAAGTCTAAATAATCCCTTGAGGTATCGTGTGTGGTCTACTTAACCCCTTAACCTATAAAACCGGGTATCCAACACATTAAACTTTGCAAAACCAACCATTTTACCCTGGGCGGTTTTGGGCATCTGGTTTTGCCTACGTGGCGCTGGTTTTGCTTACGTGGCAGCGCTAGGAAGGAGAAGGCCGAGCAGATGCTGCACATCGCGGCGGGGGCCTCCCCGTAGAAGAACTCCAGCTGTGCGATCCCGCAGAAGATGTCGAAGCCCTTGGAGCAGCGCCCTGATCGGGGGCGCCCAACCGCTACATGGTTGGTGGGCCCCCGTCACACATCACCATAAAGGGAGGTGGAGGCTAGGGCTCTATCTACGAGGTTGACCTCAGCCGCCGTGACCCACCTACAAAGAAATCCTAATCCGATCTAAACATAACGTGCTGCCAGCGACGGGAAGCCGCCACCGACTCCACTGTCGCCTACGCTGTAACGACACCGACATCCACGTTGCTGCGGTGCTATGGACCTAACTGTGCTAGGGCGAGGTACAGAAACACGTCTCCCATC